AAATACCATCTAAACTTTTCTAAAGACAGTAAGTTCCCCTCAGACATACGTTCATATAAACTCCTACACCTAAATGAATCGCGATTTGTTTAGCATCTCAACCGATTTGAATCGTCACATATTTGAATCGATTTTTAACCGGCTCGCGGTTAATCGTTACATCCCTAATAAATGAGGTAGCCTCTCTCTAGATGCAAGCAAAATATCAAAATCTTTTAACTGCATGGACATTTTTTAATGATTTTTTCTGGTTATGCAAAGCTCTTATTCTATAATTTTTTTAAATTATATTAATTGGGCAAAAACTGTAAAAATATTTTTTAATAAATCACAAACAACTGGAAAAGTTATGGGGCCTTTGAATATTATTATGGAGAATGGGGAGCCATAAAATTACTGTGCTGGAAACACTGTAATAATCACAGTGGCAACTGAACCATAATCTAAGCAACCACAGGGTCAAGAGAAGTGATGGAGCAAATCAGTGACATTGAGTTTGAACTGGGAGAGCGAGACACTCACCGTTTTCTGCTTTTTGATCACTCCCGGACTCGAAGTAATGAGCTAAGTTTGGCTTGAGAAAGTCTGTATGTCTGAAAGTCGACCACCAGGGGGTCTCGGAGCACACACATAAACTTAAACGTGCGTACATACGCGTACACACGCGCGCACACACACACACGCACACACACACACGCACACACACACACATGCACACACAAACGCACACACACACACACACAAACTTTCACTCACCCGCTCTCCAGACCGTGGCCTCTTCTTGGGTCGTGTGGGCAGCGTGTCCTCCTTTGGATTTGTGTCGATTGCCCAGTACGAACCCTACAAACAGGATGAGGATGGAATATTAGTCCCAAAGCAAGTCATCATACTCTAAAATAGTGGTCAACTTAAAGTCATTCAATAAAACTTGGATGAAAAGCAAAGCACGATAATCAGCAGGGTTTCCAAGAGAGAAACTTCTGCAATCAGATACTGGGCGCATTCGCCGTCAAACACATACAACTTTTAGTTCATCAAAGTTTCAGCAGGCTCATCTGTAAGCCCATCACGTCGGGAGAACGTATATGTTGAGGTGCGAAGAAGTTGGGTCTTTTGCTATAGCCGTTTCTTGCGCTCGCTCTCTCGCTTCGCATTTCTCCTGAGCCTTGGCAGAGGCAGGTAAAATGTTAAGCCCCTCCTGAAGCCCCTCTTCCTCAGCCGCAGGTTTATCGATTGCTCCTGTTCAGGGCTGGTGTTGGATTTCTGGTCAGGTCTGAGCTCTGATAATCAGGCAGAAAATAGCACACCTTGGATTGGGGCTGCTGGTATCCAAGCACCCAAGACCCTGGCTGAATAATTTATCTTTGCATTCTTCCTGTTTAATTTATTTTTCAATAGTGCTGCTCTTCCCAGAAGCTAAAGGCAACCCTGGCCACGAAGTTAGGCAAAAAGAAAAATAAATTAACCTCCAGGCTTCGGTTTTATTTTAAAATATTTCATATTATATGGGATAAGATCTCAATTGTCCAGAGAGGGTGCGATCAAGACCTTCAAAATTACTTGTGCACAGCTCATGTGTGCACTTAAGCAAGGAGAATAATTGAAAATCACCAAAGGATTTGTCTAGACAGCATGCTTCAGGTTCCTCAAACGTTCGGCCTCCAAAGACATATTGATAAAATGATGTAAATTTCTGCATTTAAACAGCAATACGGCACAGGTTAGAAGCTACGGAATGGCAATGAGTAGGGTTGGGCATCGTTAGAAATTTTCCGGTTCCGATTCCGGTTCCAGTTTTGCCTAACAATTCCAGTTCCGATTCTGGTTCCATTTAAATGAACTATTATTATTATAATTTTTTTTTACTATTTTACCTTTATTGAATGTAGTGTTGCTGGAAGGTAGTAAGTAATGTTGAGTAATGCTAGTCCATCAATCACATGTGCTTCAAAGTTGATGTTTTTTACACTATCAATAAGATTTTGCTTTTCAAGCAGGAATAAGCTGGTTGGCTAAATAGTCCCTTGAGGGCTAAGACACTTATTCATTTCCCTAAATTAATGAAATATTAACTGTTATACTTATAACTGTATACACACACTCCATAAAGCCCCTATTTTACAAATAATAATGCAGTCAGGAGATGGTGTGATGCAATGAGTGGTTTCCACATTTTTAAACATTTAAAATGCATGAAAATAAATATTTTCTATCACTATGTTTATCACTCTTGAAATGACCTGTACACTAAATAATCTAACCCTCATACTTGCATAACAATAGCAGACTATTTATTTAGTGGTTCAAGTTGAAGTCAGTATGTATATTAATGACAATATGGGACAAATATAATGTAATTTAGTGGCGGCAGGAGCTGTGCGCTGCCGGTACGTGTACAGTGAGACAAAACAATGTGCACAGTTATCAAAGACGCGAGTGCGCATACACTCGTGGAAAACGATGTGTTCGACAGTTAAAGACGCGGCGCGTCTGTGGAGTACGCGTCATGGGAAGCAATGTGCTTAGTAATTAAAGAGGCAGGGCGGCGTTTCTGTTATTTAGTTTGTGACATCCTTTACGGGAAACGCAGGCGCAAGGCTGCTCACAGCGCTTGGTCACGTGTCGCACCAGAACCGTTTTCGGAACGAAACTTAGAAATAGCTCACGGTTCAGGTTCTTTTAAAAAAACAGAACCGGTTCTTGGTTCCCAACCCTAGCAATGAGCAAAGCTCCTGTGCCCGAACGGTTTTTCGAAGCCTCCCTACCTTAAGAAAAGTTCTCATTATCCCGGTTTTATTACATGGCTGTTGCAGCCATTTGTTAGCTAAGTGTGATGACAGCTCCAAAACAATCTGACCAATCGCAACGCTCACAGCATGATCACACCTTGCTTTAACATGCCATTTTTTGGTCTTGAAAGCAGTGTACTAAAACCAGCCTAATGAGAGGATGTGACACAATTAACATTAATCAAATGGTAAACCAGGCATTCAAATTTCACTTTTTAGCAGTCAAGCAAAGTCAGACATTATAGTCATTATTTAATCTTCAATTTTAATAAGAGCCTCATCTAATTTTACATTCTTAAAAGGTACATACGTACACACACACATTTTCCACTCAGAACAAAATGGAAATGGTTGACCAAAGAAGTTGAGTGCACGTGCTCAGCGTCATATCCAGAGGTTGTGTTTGGGAAATAGACGTATGAGTGCTGCCAGCATTGCTGCAGAGGTTGAAGGGGTGGGGGGTCAGCCTGTCAGTGCTCAGACCATACACCGCACACTGCATCAAATTGGTCTGCATGGCTGTCGTCCCAGAAGGAAGCCTCTTCTAAAGAGAATGCACAAGACACACACACACACAATAAATAAAAATTACATATTACATATTAAAAAGCTACCGCATTACCCACAATGACATGCAGCACTCAAGTCAAGCACTGTAACGTGATACTTAAAATTCGAACAGTTTTAACTTGCCACTGATTACCCGGGAATACGCATGATGTATCATTAGAGAGCGACGTGTGTAGCAAAAACGTCAAAAGCATATCCTGACATTCAGAGAATAAATCATCATACTGTACATATTATCTATTCTATGCAAATTAATAAACAGCGCATGGCACTTGAGTTGAGAGGTGCGCTGATGTGAAAGGGTCTTCAGTTTCTTTATAAATTCTAATGTAGCATGAGTAGCTTAAAAATGTTAAATGCTAATGGTAGTGAGTGCTCCCACACAATAAACAGACTAGATAAGTACAGCTACTCTCAAATAGTTTAACAAATGGTGAAACATGATCTTCACCTTGCATCACCATTTATGCATTATATTCCAGCATTAGACCATCAGAGTGCATAACATGCACGACAATTTCCCTGTAACAAACATCCTAGTGTTCTTTATTTCAATTTAAATAACCATGTTCCTGTAATTGATGCAGTGACGATGAAGGACAGCTGAAGGTGACTGAGAACGCTGGCAGTCTGTTACACCTAGCAGATGTAATTTAAATGAAAACTACTGCAAGACACTTTCACTGTGGAAGGGGAGGCTGAGTAGCGTTCCTTTTAATTAGCTGAAAAATCTTGAAAAACCGAAAGCCCTTGGGAGGGGAGTATCTGTAGGCTGCAACACAATCCCTGGAGAGAAAGCAATGTTTAAAGAAATCCATGAAAGGAGAGTTTACATGAATCTGAAATATAGGGCAATACAATAAGATTGTGTCGAGGTTACTTGTTTAGATAAACTTAGCTGAACCCCAAAATTAAAAGCCATAAAAGAAATGCACTAAAGAACATCAATACACCTCCCTTAACAATGACCATCGCAAATCAAGTATTACATTTTTCTAAATTAAGTAGTACATTTATAACATTTAATAGCACTTCACATGTATTCACTTAGTAGACGTTTTATAGTATTACATACTATTGTTCAAAAGTTTAGGGTTGGCAAGATTTGTATTAAACTGATCAATAGTGACAGTAAAGACTGAAGGATCATGTGACAATGAAGTCTGGAAAAATTTCTATATTATTATATATTTTAACACATTAAAATAGAAGAGAGTTCATTTAAATTGTAACATTTCACAAGATTACTGTTCTTCATTTTTAAGCAAATAAATGCAGCCTTTGTGAACATAAGAAACTTCTTTCAAAACTACAAATATATAAATATGCATGTGCTGGGTTTTGCAGTGGCTTACTGGTAAACGCCTTCTAATTGAAATTTCCATTCTAATGGAAAAAAAATCAGTAAGACAGTCTCAACGCAGGCTAGACCTCTCCGACCAGAAGTCTAACTCAAGGGCATATGCGATTGTATCTGCTCCAAAGTTCGGCCTTGCTCATTCTCAGCAGCTGCTGCGGATCACAAAGGTGAAGTAAACAATCGTTTTTGCCATCTCTGAGAAGCACGCTTCAGTTACTATCTCGCACAAACAGCAGGGTCCATATTCCTGCCGTATTACAATATTGATGGAACATATCAAGAGAGCCCTGCGCAGCTTTGAAGTTCTCCTTCCAGGGGGAAGGTCTGTGTGGAAGGAGGCAAATTCCAAATTGAACATTAGGGATGCAAGCATGTTGGCCGTGCATTCGGAATAGAATCCATCCAGCGATAGATTATTTTGTATTTAATGGAGCACATCCCAGGAGTGTCAATATCAGAGGATTACAGCAAAACATGAAATTAGCATTCAGTCCCCATCCCCTGCATGCCTCGGCTCTTCTCTTTATGTCGTGCTGTGAGCGTATGTGCGTGAACGCGCTCACACAAGATGGCTGAGGATACAGAGAAATGAGTGTGTGTGTTTTGGCGGCGGTGCTTTATGGAAGAAAAAAAAAAAACAGGTTAACTGGGGTCCATCGATGCTGTATTGATGCACTGACAACATTGTATATATTTCAGAAAATAAACACGTGTTATCAGATGTGCATGCTTATTTTGAGATGTATATCGCTCTGCACTCTGGCCTAAACGTGAATCAGCCTGGGCTGTTTTTGCTCTGGTGGGCCGGGCTAGCGGTACGCCGACTGAGGAGAAGCAGGTGGTGGTCTTCCCCCCTCTCGTGCAGTAAGTGCCGGGCTGAAGTACTTTATCCTCTCCCCAAGAGAGCTCCGGAAAGCGCTTTTAAAACGTTACTGCGAGTACTCGCTCTCATCCATTTTCACAAGGATACGTATGCATTTTTTAACGGCCGAATCTGCTCTGGAAGCGGCATTTTGTATTTAGCGAATGTACAAAACCTGCATTTCTGAATAAAACAGCACTACACATGGAGGAAAAAGAGAACACTTACCTTTCCCGGGTCATCTTTGGAGCGAGGCACTTTGAGAAAACACTTGTTCAACGAGAGATTGTGCCGTATTGAGTTCTGTAGGAGGAAAGGGAGAAAGAGAAGTGTTTAGGTTGTTTATAGGTTAATGAGACTCCCGCATGATATTACACTACAAAAGTACCTAAAACCCTCATTTACATGCAGCCTATAGCGCGCTGTCAGACGGCGGCGTAGCAATCGCGAGCATGTAGGGTCCCTGCAAATAAGAGAATATGAATAAAACACTGGGGCATTATAACCCAGAGCCTGCGTCATCTTTTCTGCACTATGCAAAGCAACCGGGCCAGAGAAATATATTAAAGAGATTCATCTTGCTGCAGATGACAGCCTCAAAAAAAAACTGCAGGACGATTAGGACGATTGCAGAATATTGAGGCTCCTAAACTCAATAATAAAAACCCCTGACTCAACTATTTTTAACTACACAGAGATTTTTCATAACTTCTGAGATTCCCACACGTGTCCGAATGCACTGAGACTGATGTGACAAAGAAAAAATCCTATACATGAAGGATGTCCTGAGGTTAATTTAAAAAAAAAAAAAGAGAGATCCAGTTTAATAGCATAGTAATTAATTAATCATCCCGTTCCTCAGGGGGAAATGAATTATGTAAATTATTTTTTTTAAACTTACACAATTCTTTAATGAGCAAAAGGTAATTTTGCAGCATGTGAGGGGTGAATCAGCAGGAGGCGGCTTGAACGCACATCATGCCTTAATGCTTGGTGCGTTCCAGCTGGAGCTCAGCCAGCCACTTGGCTTAAGACACTAGAAATGCACAGGTTTTGAAATCATTTGACCAAATTGTATTGACAGATGGCTGTGATATAAAAGCTCTGGGATCTTCGCATGAGCTGGTCTGGTGTGGAACGAGCCTACCACGAGAAAAACGCTCACGAGGGAGGCGATTAGATGAAAATGCTAAGCAAACACAGTCTAGGTTAATATGTGATGAATTTGTGAAATAACTACCGTATAACATCTAATGAGGGCAATAACGGGCCGTTTCCACTGGGCCGATCAGGGATGACTGTAGGTGTGTTTTAGATGTTTAACAGCAGACCGAAGGGAATTACACGTCAAGGTAAGGGAGTCTCCGACTGAGTCAGCAGTACTGAAACCATTAGTGGCAATAAAGGTGAGCTCTCCAGAACAGTTGAACCTGATAGTTCATGAGATGCATGCATAAAAACAAAGGCGGGTCAGAGCAGTTTATAACCCGTCGTTGAACCCGCTGCATCTGTCCACAGACCCTAATATCTTGTAGAGCATTAAAACTTTAGCAGCAACAGCAACTCTAGACACTGCAATATCCAAGGTCAGTCACGCAGACAAAAAAAACAACAACAACGTCAATTACTTAAGCCTGCTCTGCAATAGCAATGTGCAATTTGCCCATTTTGAATGCTTGAGTACTTGACAGATAAAACAGAAAGGTAAGTTGAAGAGGGCAGATGAAGCAAAATTTTTCTTTTTTTTTAAAATTATTATTATAAATATGCATCAGATGGACATGCTTCAGCTCATGAGTTTCACAATCTGCACAGAATTGCTGAATAGATGAAACGGATCACTTTCTTGTACAAAGCAATGATTCTGTGTCCACCTTCTATCAGGTTAGGTGGCAACTAGCTAAGTGGACATGCAGGTCAGACAGGCAGGTCTCTTTCCCTGGCTGTCACGCTCTCGCTTTCGTCCTCCACTGCTTTAACCTCCCTCTCTATTCTCTGTCTCCCCCGCTTTCTCTGCTGGGGGCTGAAGGGTTCAAGGCTGGCTCAGCAGGGCTCCTGCAGACAGACACGGCTAATAAGCACTACTGCACCAGTCCAGTCTGTCTCCAACTCTCTATCAGGGGAACTAACCAGGAGAGCCGCAGGGCCAGCTGCCATTCTGACACACTGAGTTTGAGTGTGTGTGTGTGTGAGAGAGAGAGAGAGAGAGAGAGAGAGAGAGAGA